ACATGCAGGTTTTCTCCATAATGCAGATGAGTTTCTTGAGCGACGGTTTCAATCAAGTTTAGAGACATATGTGTTATGCCATCGTGAACAACGTTAGCAGAATTTTCGACGATTCGACATGTTACCGACTTGGCACCCTCACCAGCGCCAGTTCGAAGGAAAAACAATGCGGATGGAAATGAATGCATGCTGCAAACGGACAGAGATGTTCTGGACATCAATGTGTCTCGAATGGTACCGGTGCTGCGGAATCCCATTTCAGTTAACGACAAGCTTTTGGCCAATCTGTTTTCATTGTTTTTTGTATCCTAGTTTTCCATCAATTCACTAGAGGTATATGCTTCTTATGTATGCATCACTATTAGCTTCGTGCTGAAAGGCGGCTATCTATCATCTTCTATTGCAATAAATTTGATCGGACCTTTCTTGGTTATGCAAGCCATACAGAACAGTTCAAAGAACAATGACAAAAGATATCAATATAAACACATTAGTAGGTTGGTTATGAAAGAACAGCAACATAAAATCATATTTGGAACAGTGTGATTTTACACGAGTACAGTTTGGCCGAAAGTGACACTGTGTTCATGGTTGGTCGCAGAACGCTGGCTTTTGGCGTAATGCTCACAGCGAAACTTGCGTCCAAGCAGATGGAATGCTGTGTGTTGACGATGCTTCGCCCTGACCGTCTCCGGATCGTGATCGATGTACTCTATCATCGAGATTTCGTCCGGTACGAACGTGTTTTTCCGGGATGAGACGGTGTTGGCTGTGCTTCGGTGCAGATTCATTGTCGCCGAGTGAAATCTGGCACACATGTCGCCGACGTACACCACCCGTCCACCGACGATGGCCAGTCCGTCGCCGAGAGCGACGATCTTGCGACCAAGGTAATGGATCTTCCTCAGGTACGAAACTCCTACCAGGTCGATGCACATCGACGTGACCACACAGCCGAGGAATATAAGCACCAGAGGCAGCGTCAGTGACGCACCGGTCGATGACGGCACCAGGTCACCGAAACCTACGGTAGTCGTGGTGACGAACGAAAAGTACAAACATTCGAACAACGACCACGACCACTCGAGTTGATGGGTCAGCACGGCCGCGAAACAAATATAAAGCAACAGGAAGGTGATCACGATGGCAGCCGGCAACAGAAGTTGATTGGAAGTAGCCATTACCAGCTGATCACCGTTCGCACCTCGACTGCTTCTTTTGTAAGAACAGTGCAGCCAGCGTTGAATGTCGCTGCACTTAGTTAGAAGACGTCGGTAAGCCAAAATGAGGAAAATGCCGAGAAATTTCCCAAGGTTTGCCACCGTCACCAGAGCAATCGGTATTCCGAAAAAGGCGCACAACAAGCAAACGAGTTTGCCGGCGAATGAGGTTGGCACCGGGTTACCATAACCTGAAAAAACAATTATTTCCTGATTATAAGGCTCAATTACGAAACTGCCCTCATTCACTTACCTATCGTTGTTAACATTGTGACCGCAAACAAGATCGCGTGAGCGAAGGTCCATTTACGTTGTGTTTGCTTTGTGAGCACTTCTTCGCCGCTCAGCTGGTACTTTTTGAACGAGTCGAAAAGAAACAGCGAGTGAGTGGTCATTACATCCGTTGCTTTCCGTTTCCATTCTGATTTGGTGGCTGACGAAGCCTGCAGCGAGAGAAGATCGGCGATCAGTTTGTCCTCCGCCTGACTAATTTGTCCAAGGCGCTCCTGCTTAGTCGACACTTCGTGAGGCGTTTCGATGGCGTACAGAATCCAGCTGACCAGCAGCGTATATGAGCAAGCAAATAACATCAAGCCGACATGTGGAAATGCCTAATGAAACAACTGTGCAACGTTTGGCAAAAGCTGTTTACAAATCATACATGTTTAGAATATTAATTCTTTTAATTTATGGGCTCTGAGAAAATCACTTCACATTGGAAGTGGAAAATTTCAGAAGAAGAATACATGAAGAAAATGGAGATCAGTCAGCTTAATCGGGTATCCAATCGAGATCCAGATATCAAGAGGCAGCGGAGACTGCTTAGAACAATCGTATTTTCCACATCCTGATATAGGCGAAACAGGTTCACTGTCTGTAGTAGTGTCAAAAAACGCTAATGTAAAGCAGAAATAAGGGATTTTCATTTTAATTAACTTTTGATCGAGTCTTTCTTTTCGCATGCACCTCATGCTAAAGCGTGGGCGTAAAGCTACAGCAGAGGCAGTGAAAGTTACAAAGGCCATGACATGAAAATCGCTCCGTATCTGTCTACTCAACATACTGACATCTGACACGAAACAGAACTGAACTTCTGACTACCGCTCGGTAAATAAATACTCTAACATATTATAATAATCTTCGAAAGAAAAAATCTAGTAGTGTCTGAGATGCTTCAGTGGAAACCATATGTCCAAAAAAAGAAAACACAATTTGCGGATGTAATAAATCGAGTCTCTGCGGATCCTAATGATATTCACGAAGTGAGGGTTTGCATGGAGCATAGTTTCGCCGTTGTCAGGTGTTGGCAGCGATAAAATTGCTTGAAAGAGACAAGGCTGCTACGGAAGATGAAATCGAACAAGAAATGTTAAAAGCCTTGAATCGTCCTAAAATTGTAATAAGAGGGCATTGTATCATTCCAAATGATCGATAACCATTGCACTACTCTACTCGTTTCATTGTAGAACCCGTGCGATGGAATGATCCTCACATCCAGCTGAATCACAAAAGGATGAGTACAATTTATCCTTACAGACTGAATAAGGTATGCTGGAGTCAGTAACCAAAGTGGTAGTTTCTGATGCTACCGGTGAGAACAAACACCTATTGCTAAATCAGATTCGCCCATCGATGGCGCATCGCATTCCTGTGATAACAGCCAATCAGATCGTTTAACCTGCTATAGTCCAATGGAATTTGAACACTAGAATGCAAGTATACAAGAATGAGTCAAGGAATTGGTCGAATCGGGACGCTGACGCCTATATTTGAAGTTAAATTAAACGGTCCCCTTGGCAGCTATCACAAGACTCGATGAACCATCAATGTGCAAGTCCGGTTAAGTGGCAAAATATACTGTGCTATT